TTTAGCTGATGTGTTTTCTGATGCTTTTCTAAAAGTAGACCGTAGTCATTTATTTGCCAGCAGCCATATCACCCTGTAGCCCAAGACTGGTTGCCCACTGAAGCTAAGCAGGGCTGAGCCTGGTTAGTACCTGGATGGGAGACCTTCTGAGAAAGCCAGGTTGCTGCTGGTAGAGGTGTTAGTGAGGCCAGCAGGGGGTGCTCACCCTGTGGTCTGTGTGGGTCCTAACGCCCCAGTAAAGTGATGGGGACACTATGCTGTCAAAAAAGAGCACCGTCCTTCGGATGAGACGTTAAACCGAGGTCTTGACTCTCTGTGGTCATAAAAAATCCCAGGATGTCTTTCGAAAGAGTAGGGGTGTAACCCCGGCATCCTGGCCAAATTTGCCCAGTAGCCTCTGTCCATCATGGCCTCCTAATCATCCCCATATACACCAATTGGCTTCATCACTGTCTCCTCTCCACCAGTAAGCTGGTGTGTGGTGAGCGTTCTGGCGCAATATGGCTGCCGTCGCATCATCCAGGTGGATGCTGCACATTGGTGGTGGTTGAGGAGATTCCCCTCTCTATGTGAAGCGCTTTGAGTTTCCAGAAAAGCGCTATATAAATGTAACAAATTATTATTATTATTATTATTATTATTATCTTGTTAGTGTGCTTGTTTTAACGAGAAATAATCGACTTTCACTTATAACACAATACAGTTATATTTCATTGCAATACATCCATATGAAGACTTGGGGTATTTAATCTGTCTGATTTCCCAATTACGATTATTGAAGTCCCGATTCGATTACAGTCGATTTTCAATTATTGCTGATTCTCGATTAGTGATTATTGCTTTTCCATTTCACAACAGTAAACGAAAATACACTAGACGAACATATGATTATATTAGCAGCCAGTGCATGAAGAGGGGGATAAAAGGTGCCGGTACTCTCTTGCATTGGCAAATCATGAGATTTGAAATTTTTACAGAGAAAAACAAAACTTGGAAATATTGCTCGTACAACAACAATTTATTGTTATTTATTAACAACATAAATGTATTTAAGGGTGATTCTTCAACTATGGTACTCTTTGAGCTAGACAGTTTCAGAAAATAAAAACATTTCTACAAACAGTTTTTTAGTATCAGTTGGTTTCTCAATCTGTCTAGAATCTGGGTGCGATGATTTGTATTGAATAATATATATATATATATATATATATATATATTGCCATTTTTATCTGACAGGCCAAGAAAACGCCCAAGTTCTCTTATTTACCAACAATATTGTAGCAATAAGAAATAATAAAATATTTATTACTACCTTAACTTAATTAATTGTATGTTTTTTGTTTTTACATTAATGTTTTGCTATTATAGCCCAAAATAATTTGCTGTTTAGCACGAACAATGTCATTTCCACCACAACCTGTTTTTACTACCACAATGAACACCATGGTGGAAATAACTGTGGTGGAAATGACATTTCCCCCCTTTTCCTCTAAAATATCATGCTATGTTAGCCTGTTAATATTAGTTTTACAGTTAGCATTACGTCCATGTGAAATATGAGCCGTTTGGAAATGACGGCCAATAAACATATTCTCAGTTTAAGTCATATTTATCTTGATTTTTCTTCTTTTCATTACCCCCTAAAGAGGTCACCCTTTCACCCAGCCATGTGTTCACTGTGGAGTTTCTATTGCTATGGTTACTAAATATACAAACTTAAACAATGATCCCAGGATTCTATTTTGTACAGTGTGGTGGAAATGACCCCAAGGGACAAGGGTTCTACTTATGAAAAATATAAGAAAATGTGAATAAATATTGCAATATATAATATGTATAGACATTATTTTATAATTTGTACTTAAAATCTACATTATTTAAATATTTAATTTAGAATTAAGCGAGGTTGAAGGTACAAAGTCTAGCTTAGGGGAAAACAGTAAAAATCATGCATAAAAGGCCTCATATTATATAATAAAAAGAATGATTGAGCCATGATAAATTTTTTATAAGTTCCCCTTAGGGTGAAGTAAGTCTGACAAAAAACAAAGAAGAGGAAATGTTTTTTAGATTTTATTATTTCATCCAGGGACAAGAAAAGTACCATAGTTAAAGAATCACCCTTAAACGAGTCGTGTGTGCGTGCGCATTTCTTTACAAAGAAACATTCTCTTTTTAGAAGTTGGTCATTAATAAACTTGATTCTTGAAGTTTGTTAAGATGGGAAGTATACAACAATTACATGCAAATGGTAAACAACAAAAACAACCAAGAAAACAGCTCTGATATTGTCTTTTCAGTCGTACTTCGATATGTTTACAAGACAGCAAACATAAAAAAGTAGGCCTACACTCGGGTTTGATTTTCGGCATGTAGGCTACCTGTCTGTGTAGGCTATTACATAAACTAAAAGAAAAGCTTATATTCTGACTACTTTGCTCGTTTTATTTATTTATAAAACAAAGTTTTACCCAAACTGAATAATTAAGTTAAGAAGTTTAAATGGCTAAATCTTGTATAAATATGTTTGAGTCCTTTTCTTTTCTGACGTAGCCTACTCCAGTTCTTGTTAAAACACACTAGACATGCAAATTCTGTGCATTATGGGCACTTTTTGTTTGAAATCGTATTTATTTTATCCAAAAATTTATTTTCTACATAAATATTTTCTCCATAAAGACTGGTATGTACGCCGGCAAACCCCCGCTTCACTGTTGCTCACGCGATGCTCCTCCTCGCGGTGTGAATGCACTCATTGATTAACATGCAAGCCAAAAAAAATACGCGCTGATCACGCTTGCGGTGGCTGCGATCAGCTCCAGTTGCCGTTTTGCAGCCGTAACGCGCCACATTATTATTTTGGAATAAAAATTGGCCCACACCATGACACACCCTTCACCATACCTAGAGATTAGCATGGGGTTCTTTCCATAAGATCATCTTTCAAATCAAACTAAACCAGCTATTAGGCTAACTGAAATAAAACCATGTATATATGGTAAAGGGTATGTGATGATGTGGTGGCTATTTTAATTCTAAAGGTGAAGATAACTTTATCAGGATGTATAGTATCGTTGGTCCATGAAACAACTAGCCTTTAAAAATAAAAATCTGCCTGCCTCCATGGGAATTTAACATAGAGGTGTCCAGACATAAACACCCTGTATTTTAAGGAACATTTTTTATTTATTTAACATTTATTATTTATTATTTTATGCCCACAGTCGTGCAACCAAATAGTTTCTGTTGATATCAGCATGTTCACAGGTGTTTCTTCTTTTATTTTTTACAGGGACCAGATGCCCCACTGATGAGTCCTGCTGACTTCAACATTCACAGGAGACTCTGTACATGAACATGCTAAAATTAAAAATCAAACACCTTGAAAATGACTGGTATGTACTATGTTTCAGGAATGGCACAAAGTTGTGTGACTGTTCAAGCCTCTGTCTTTAGATCAGTGTGTTTACCAATATGCTGTGCTTTTTTCTGTCCTTTGTTGAGTATCTTTGGATTATTTGTATCATTTAACATTTAATATTCAACAATATTATTGATCTGTGTTGTATTACTTTCATGTTATCACTGTGAAGCTGCTTTGATACAATCTGTATTGTAAAAAGCGCTATGTAAATAAATGTGACTTGACTTGATTATGTTGTGTTGTAAATAAGTCCAAACAATCTTAAAGCCATTCTTTTTTAAATCTCCTCATTCTTTGTGCAAGGCTCCTCATAATCATCGGGCCTGTTAGCACCTAATAGGGCCATTATTGGGAGGGTCTTAGTTTTTCTCAAGTGAGAAAAGCACTAATATTAATGTGAGATCACAACTTTTCGCAAAAAGCTTTCTTATACAAAACACGTCATACAAATTATAAATGAAAACAACTCAGACCCCAGAGGGTTAAGGCAATTCATCCCTCACCATTTCCAGGAGCTGGTAGCCTCACCCAGCAACTCTTATAGGTAGGACCAAAAGGCCAGTGTGGCCCCCGTGCCCACCCCCCTTGAAGAGACTGGGGACGGAGGCACAAGAGCAGTCTTCCCCCATTGACAGTGTCAGGAATTTACCACTCAATGTGTCCCCAACAAAATATGTTCAGTTGTTCCCTGCCACCTAGATGTTTCATGGCATCAATCCAACCGCTCTCCTCAACATCAACAAATTTACACCTATTTCAGTGCATCTGGAAGTGTGGCAACTTCTGCCAAATGTTTCTTATTGGGTCCTGCAGACCATAGCAAAAGGTTATAGAATTCAGTTAAACTCTCATTTCACAGCGTTTCAATGGCATGCCCCCCACTGTGGTAAGCGCGGAGAAGGTCCCAATATTAACGCTAGAACCACAATCTTTTTTGAGGCAAAGAGGCCACATTCTTCATAATGCTCATAATTATCCCATGAGCTGTTTATATGAAGTTACATTCTGATTTTATTCTGTGTAAATTTTTCATATTTTTCAAAATGATTTGTGGCTGTTTAATTTGTTTGATTACTTCATAGTGTTACATCATAATGGTCTCTGGTGTTGTGGGAATCTTTAAATAATTTATACTGCCTATAATTATCTCTTGTGCTATTTAATTATTCATATTGTTAAAAAAATCTCCTGTTTTAGGTCTATAAATTTTGTTTTTAGCAAATCTATTTATCTTTAAGGTGCTCACTAAAAACACACATATACAAGCTTTCATAAATTGTTGACTTTTGCTCAAACACATTGTCCGATTCCATCTTTTGGCATCCAAAACAGACACACAAGTATAAAGGAGGTTTTGATCATTGAAAAATAATAAAAAAACTAAGTTTGTACTCTATAGTTGCATCAGAAGAAGACATAAAAGAAGCTAATGCAACAATCTTGCTAATAGGCATATGATTATGAGTAATATCAATTGTCTGCAAATTCTGACATTACAGTGTACGCATACTTCTAGGATGATAGCTTGTTAGGCTTGTATAATAGTGAGCATTAGGAATCTGTACTTGCATTTTACCTGGTTGGAATATTTTGTAGTAAGGGCTGTAGGCCACATTCAAGCCTCCAAGTTTTACAGCTACCTCGTAGCGTCCAGCCTTACGCACAGTGAAGGCCACTTTGACTACATTAGATTCAGGCTCTTGAAGGACTTCCTGGGTGACAGGGACTTCTAAAGCCAGCTCTATGTGAGTGATGTTCACCCTCAGTCCCACGGGTCTATGAGCAGGAAATGGCTGGCCATTTTTGTAGAAGAGCTGTGAGAAAGATTTCAAAACATCTAATACACAGTACTGCATTTATATCAGTTGAGCTGCATGAAGTACCCAATATATAGTCAGTCACATTTTGACAAAAATAAAAATAAAATAGGTAACACTTTAGTTTAGGGTCCAATTCAAAAATGAAATGTGCTTTATAAGTACTAATAAAAAGCCAATATCTTAGTAATATGCACACTATTAAGCAAATAGGTAGCTGCTTATTAGTGTGTATATTACTAGGATATTGGCTTTTTATTAGTACTTATAAAGCACATTTAATTTTCACGCCTTAGGCCTGATCACGCAGAACATGTATTTTGCAGTGAGAGACACCTTCTTTATATTGTTTTCTATTGGCAGTGAGCGTTTTGCATGTTTTACCCGCCCGCTGTGCCTCACGTTTTTGTAGGAGCACTCTGAGCACCTGAAGTTGAAATAACAAACAATCAACTCTGAGCAAAAAAGTGCCTGATGTCATGACAATTTTTTTTTTGTTTTAAACCCGGCTATTTTTAATACGTGGGTCGTTGTAACTGACGTTCTCAACTAATTTCTGTTACTTTCTCCCGCCCGCAACATTTATGTTTGGTCCCGCTCCCGCCCGCAAAAAGACTTTTTTTCTGTACCTCCAAATACTTTCAAGTTAGCCTTCGTGTCGCCACCATACATATCAGCATAACTGCTCCTGATAAATTATTTGTTATTAAGGCATTAACACAAACCATTGTTATAACATAAAAGCAAGCAGCTCCTGTGTGCATGGTTTGGCATGACCGTGTGTGCGCTCCCTTAATTATTCCTAAAAAGCTGACAGTTCATCACGATCTTACGCATCTGTTATTATCAATGAAGCTTTCATAATATATACACTTTGTTTGTTATAATTAGAGGATTTGCCAACATACAGAATTCAGCACTGAACAAAAAGTCAGTTTTGTGCTGGGAGGGAAGTCTTATCGTAAATGCTTCTGATTGGCCATTGCATTCAAGAAAACAACACATATGTCTCTGATTGGCTACATCGCTTAACGCTTTATTCTCCCTCAACCCGCACACACAGAGTGCATTAAAGCCCGCGCTCGGCGCTCCCTCTTATGACGCATAAAAATAAAAAAAATCATAATAATTAAGATTTTTATTTTTCCACAAGTCATTTCAAGTAAATAGGCACAAGTCCGAGTCAAGTCTAAAGTCACAAGGAGCAAGTCTAAAGTCTAGTTGAGTCTTTTCAGAGATCTAGTCAAGTAAGTCTCAAGTCCAGAAAATTGCGACTTGAGTCTGACTCGAGTTAAGTCATATGACTCTCGAGTCTCCCACCTCTGACACAAAGTAATAAAACACTAATATGACAGATTACTTAACTGCAAACCAAAGAGCGCTAGTGCTATAATCCTTGATTAGACTGAGGACAGCTGTTTCGGTGGTTGCCTAGCAACATAAAAAGAACCTCAGCGCACTGCTCTTTTCTAAATTAAAAAAAGTCAACAAAAAAGGCAGTGCTGTGCGCCTTGTGTTTTCAAACCTGAAAAACACGTTCTGTCTGATCAGGGCCTTGTTCTGCATGATCATATTCTACAACCCTAATCCTCCTACCCAATACCTAAACTTAACAACTATCGTACTAACTAAAACAACTATCGTACTAACTATTAATAAGCAATAATTAGGAGTTCATTGAGACAAAAGTCAAAGTTAAAAGTAAGATTTGGACCCTAATCTAAAGTGTGATAAAATATATATATATATTTGTGAAAAGCTTATGATTTGTTACCTGCACTCGGAAACTCATGGTTTGACCGACTTCCTGTGGCTCTGTCCAGTCCCAGGAGACCTTGCATGAGCGTGGGTCCAAATAATTACCCCGCACATAGTCGTAGATACTGCGGTCCCCATGACGGGTAGGGTCATCATTCTGTAAGAAGCTGACCACACGAGCAGCAAGCTCACACAGAAACTTGATGGTGAAGACGAATGCGATGATGGAAACAGTTATTCCACCTAAAGAGAGCAAATGAGCCTTTAAAAACAGAATATATAAATGTAAAAATTTGAAATGGTAAACTATTTTTTCACACAAGCCAACAGCATGAAACAACATCAATGCTGTCTTTAAAACAGCTGTCAAAACACACCATACAAAAAATAACTGACTGATAAATGTTAGTAAAACAGTAATAAAAAACAAAAACAAATAAAAGCTTAAAGTAACTTAACTGCATACATTTGCACATATTTAGGTATGTGGCTGTATTCAGAATTAACTAATTATCAAGCTAATATGAAATAGTACACACTTCTCTTGAATTGTCTCCAAATAAATAGTCTCAGGTTACAACTGTAACCATGGTTCCCTGAGAAGGTAAATGAGACACTAAATCTTGGATTAGTAGACCATCAACCGTGTCTGAAGTACGAGTGACAGACACGCCAATTTTATTGGCCAAAGGCAGTCCATAACGTCACTAGCGGGCCATCGATGTGCCATCCACGTAGGTGTCTAAATGTAAAAAAGCCTGATAAAAAAAACTTATCTGACCTTTTTATATTAATTTCCAGTTGGGAAAATATTTACTTTTATTGGTAAATATGGGTAAAAAACTCTATTTAGACCAAAGATTCTCATCTTTGATTACTATTTTGTGCATTTAGGTTTTTCTCTTTTACAAAGCACTACGGCTGCCCTGATGGAAATCTATAACTGTAATATTAAAATGTATAACTGTAATAAAAAATATTGTCCGGACCTCTGATGGGAAGGAAAAATAGAGACCGGACCTCTAGTAACTTTAATTGAATACCCCTGCCCTAAGCCACTATCTTCCAAAAATACAGGATGATACCCAAGCCTCTATGCTCTTATTACAAGGGATGTTTTGGGTCCTCCCTTGCAGGCTAGGCGTTAGCCTTATGAGGGCCCAAGAACAAAGCTCTAAGGAATAAATGGCTAAGCTATGTCAGCTGTTCTTTTGCTTTGGCATAGCCATTAGGGAGTATGCATCAAAGGGAGAATATTCTTAACTACGAATATTCTTAACTTGGATATTAGCACTACTACCAGGGGGAGAATGCATCGAAGGGATGCAAATATGACAGTAGCAAAATATAGTTCCAATGGTTGCTTTTATATTAAAGGGCACCTATTATGCCCCTTTTTACAAGATGTAATATTGGTCTCGGGTGTCCCCAGAATGTATTTGTGAAGTTTCAGTTCAAAATACCCCATAGTTAATTTATCATAACCATTTGAAAATGTCATTTTGGGACCTGATTAAAAATGAGCTGTTATGGGTGTATGCCACCTTAAATGCAAAAGAGCTGCATATCCCCGCCCTGCCTTTGGATGAGGGCATAACTTGAAGGGGAGAGCGAGAGACCCGCTGTTTTGAATGTCATTCAGCGTACGTTTGAATCGGAATATATAAATAGTACTAAGAGACTCAGGCAGAATAAACACATGAGAATGGACCAGTACGTGTCGGTATGGTTATTTGATACATTTATGTACTTATAGAGTTGCAATCGCGTCTTTTTGCAAGTATGGATGTGCAACACACACACACACACACAAACACTAATGCTGGCGCATTTTTTTGAAACTACATACACATTCTGTGATAAAGTTTGCTACGTACAAGCGAAATTACATTTATGCGAGGGACCTGTGGCGTCATGTTTAGCTTGTCATACAGGTGCTTCTGCGGCAAATGTGAGAAGATGGCTAACTTAAAGAACAACAACATATATGCAGTTTTTAATACAATATCTTTAAATATATATTTATAAAGTGTGGTTACACACTATACAAACAATGTTTAAATTATATAAACATACATCCTACGACGACAACAACTTTAGACGCATAATTTGTTGTTGAAATGGCTGACAGACTGAAATGACTATTTGCTCAAAAATTATAAAATACACTAACTAGAGGTGACGTTGGATCGCAAACAGTAGACGACAATCCACACTTGAGGATTAATTTTTAAGCCACAACAACAGGATTAACCCGACAGAACACTTATGTTTCCAAGAGACATTACCGGCTGTCGTTGAAACAATGGAGGATGTACAGATCACCGAGGGCGGGGTCTAGGCCACAACCACACTGTCAATCAAACCCCTTGCTCAATTCTACGTCACAAAGCGCTGAATCTTAGAACAGCTCGTTCTGAGACAGTGCACATGATTTATTGAGATTGAAAAAAAAACCACTGGGTGGATTTTTATCATTCTAGGGTGGTTTTGCTCACACACTGCCAACACACATTTATGTTCAAACACCATGTAAAAGTGAATTTTCCATAATAGGTGCCCTTTAAAGCCTCAGAGGAGTACACTTTGATAATATCTGCCTCTACTCTGCCCACCTATGAGCCCACGATAGCAGCTGCAATTTTGTTACTTCAGCAGACACTGTGCCTGAACCGTAAAGTGGAGCTCCCTTACAGAGGCTCACAAAAGCGAGTGCATTCAGCCCCCTCAAGACCTGAACACACTTGCTCTGTTGGCAAGGTGGGAGCCATCATAGAGTATGCAACATCAGGAAAGACGGGCGGCAGTGGCTCAGTGATTCATGTAGTTTGCCTACAAACCGAAAGGTTGGTGGTTCAATCCCCGGTTCCACCTGACCAAGTGTCGAGGTGTCCGTCAGTGGTGGAATGTAACGAAGTACAAATACTTTGTTACTTTACTTAAGTACATTTTTCACGTATCTTTACTTTACTTAAGTAGAATAAATAGTGCATACTTTTTACTTTTACTTCGTTACATTTTGCAGCAATTATTATACTTTCTACTCCACTACATTTCTACAACTTCTGTTACTTTTTCATTACATTTTCTGATCAGTTTTTCCCCTGCCAAAACGTAATCTGACCGTCCGTTCGTTGCACGTTTGTCTCACCACCAGTGACATTTGGTTGCCATAGATACATCAACCCGGTCACACTAAATGCGTCTTGCACGCAGTGCGTTTATCGTGCAATTTAAACACGAAAATTTGTTTTTATGTGCATAGGAAACACACCGTGTGTAAAATGCCTATACATTTGGTTAGGATTAGCCTATGGCAAGCCAAGAGGTTCAGAATTACACCATAAATTAATCACGTTTACTGCCAAACATAGTTATTAATATATAGTAAGGATAAGCATGATGTGCATATTGCCTAATTGCAAGCTTGTTTCAGAAATGGTGACAACTATTTTTTTTCCATAATTATTGAACATCATTATAGGAGTATTAGGTGGAACGAGTTAGAATTAAATGTTTTATTAATCATTAGAAAATAGTCATTAAGATAATCAATTGTTATGCGAGTACTTTTACTTTTAATACTTAAAGTACATTTAAAATCAGGTACTTTTTACTTTTTACTTAAGTATGGTTGTCATTGTGATACTTCTACTTTTACTGAAGTAAATATTTATCTGGTTATTTGTACTTTTACTTAAGTACTGAGATTCAGTACTTCTTCCACCACTGGTGTCCGTGAGCAAGACACCTAACCCAACTGCTCCCGACGAGCTGGATGGCGCCTTGCATGGCTGACACTGCCGTCAGTGTATGAATGTGTGTGTGAATGGGTGAATGTGAGGCAATATGTAAAGCGCTTTGGTGGCAATTAGGTCTATGAAAGCGCTATATAAATGCAGTCCATTTACCATTTACAAAGAGATAGCTTCTTCAACTGGGGTATCCTTGCATATCGCTATTGCAAATCCCTCCATTTCCTCAACACCTTAATGTGAAAATATAGGAAGAACAAGGCTCATATACACTTATATGTGGGGCAGCGGAAGAAGCAGTTTATTAACACCTGCTCAACTCTTTCTGCCTATAATCTCTCAGAACTAGACACGCCATATTATCAAATGCTAGAACGGAGCTTCTCACAGCAAATGAGTTACAATGAATACAATCCGCTCCCTCGAGAGCTGAATGCACTCCGTACATACGCTAGGCTAGACCCTTATATTTGTTGACCCGGAGCACTGGGACTTTTCCCGATAATTCCCCCACACTGCAAATGCTCCAAAAGTGTGATTAGGTGGCGCACAGCCACTGATCTAAATAAATAACTGGATTGCTCATTGTGTTTTTAGACTGCAAGCGGGCGGTGAAGCCACAGGAAGTTTGAGCATATCATTCACATAAATAGTTTTTAAGATATATGTATGTATATTAATTGATACTTAAAACATTATCTGAAAAGTTTATGGTCTTTTTAGGCAGGATAAACGATACATGAGAAGATGGGTGTGTCTATTGCACACTTCCGATACAAGAACTAGCACAAAATAGATTTCTTTATGCATGTATTCATGCAAGAAATAAATAATAAGCATGAACATATATCTGAGATTATTAGCAGAAACGGATTAGAATATACATTAAATATTAAAAAACATAATTAATAAATTTAAAAGGTTAACCATGCATAATTTTGCTCAGAGCGACAGTATAACTGCTTGGAAACAAACCTTCGTCTTTTAATCCATACGCAGTCAGCGTGATTTTTCTGAATAAGTTGTGAAAAGTGTATATTATTTCCTGAAGTCATTTGTTGACCAACATGCACTTCAGACTTGAATTAAGTTTTATTAATATTGTTGAATCATTTAGTTACTGTATGAATAAAAACAGTATTATACTGTTTACATAATAACATATCCAGAGTGAATAACTGTAAATGGCGAATTAAGTTGTATGCACATGCATTACAAAGCATAAATCTGTATTCAGATTTCAGAAGAACCATTGTGAAGAATCGTTTGTCAGCTGATCTGAGCTTTAATGAAGAATAACATCTTTTAATAAGCAGGCGAAATTCCTTACTTTAAACAAATAACCATTTAAATGGTTGCAAACTTTTATGATTGAGCATCAATCATTAACATTAATAAATGAAACTTAGCCCCTGCTCCCTGAATGCGTATGCTGGATAGAAATGAACATTGTTCAACATTTTTCCTTTTGTGTTTTATGAAAAAAAGTTATACAAGTTTGAAAAAACAAACAAACATGTTATGTTTGTTTGTTTTTTCAAACTTGTATAACTTTTTTTATGATAACAGTAAATAAATGGTGAATTGGCCATTGGTGTGAAAATACACTCACACACACACACACACAGTACTGTGTAAAACTTTAAGGCACATTAGATTCTTTACCAAAAATGCTGTGCAAACATCATTTCAACTAAAGGAAACAATAAATTTGAAAAATAAATTAATATTTCCTACTAGCACAATAAAATAAAAGATAATACTTAAAAAAACAATAAAACATCTAATTGTTTGAGATTATTGTGATTACAGTACACTGTAAGTTCACTTGCTGTTTTACATTTTTAAGTAGAGATTTGTCATTAACAACTACCTCATTTCAACTTAAATTATATTATACCGACTTATCAGTATCAAGCTGGATATCATGTAACTTATACAAATTGTTAAAATTGCTTGATTTAATATAAAAACTTAAAGGGGTCATGACATGAGAAACCAAATTTGCCTTGATCTTTTGGTATATAAGAGATCTATGTACTATTAAAACTTCCTGCAAGTTTCATAGCTTAAGATGTCCTCCCCATTATAAACGAACCATTTATTTAATCAAGCTCTAAATACAGCTCGTTCTGGATCCATGGTATGAAGTGACGTCACGGTACGAAGTTACGTACCAGTCGTTTGCATATGACCGCCTCCAGCGCAAGACAACTACGCCTCATTTCGCATCATCGCATGTGTTGTCATGCAGCGAGTGGGTCTGTTTACAAGAAGACTGTGATGCCACAGAGATGTGCTGTTGCTGCTGTGGACAAACAACATGATTGAATACGCTGCCGAATGATCCAGTTCCAGACGTCAGGGAAAGCAGTCGGATGCAGTTTATTTGCAGCATATGCAGCGCGCCAAAGCTTTATTTGAACGGTGAGAGAGATGAGTGTGACAGAGGGCATGTTACTGAAAGAAGAACGAGCAGAGAGCGAGCGAGCCCCGGCCGTGTGCGCGCCTTCAAACTCTCTCTCTCTCTCACTCTCTCTCTCTCTCTCTCTCCCTCCCTCCCTCCCTCCCTACAACCACAATCGGATGATAAGAGAAAATCATTTTTGACTCTAATGAGAGCTGTTTCAGTACTATGGTACGGTCTAAATCCTGAAAATAATCAAATAAATGATGAGTTGACAACAACTCTGTCACCCAACGATTCTATCTTGTCTACAAACCACGTTTTGTCACGAAAAACCACGCAATAAAACGAACCAGAAATGACGCAAAACAGCACATGCGCCAATACCCAGCGAAGAAGAGAACACAACACGTGAATATAGACGTCGGACAGAAACTAGTGCTGCACACTGTTTGCGCGATGATTTGCTCTGAGAAAAAAATGCAAAAAAAAAGAAAATTTACCTGGTGTCCTCAACCTATGCGTTGCTATGATTGGCTGTACTCATGACATCACTGAGGTTGAGTCCTTTTACTGTCTATGGTTGAGACGCGCGACGGCTCTGGAATCTGTATATGCCAAATTCACACTACAGGATTTTAAGCCCGATTTATGCCCAATTTGCAAATCGTTGAGCTCGCCAACAGGTCAGGGTGTTATCGAGTGCAAATCGCGGGGAATTAGCGGGCGATGAACGCTTGCCAATCTGTTAGTATGAAAGAGCCAACAACGCAGCGAAAACGCTCGCAGACGCCTTGCAGACGCATCGCCGAGCCCAGAAAAATATCTAGCCTGCTAGTTATCCAGAGCCGTCGCGTGACTCAAACTCAGTGATGTCATGAGTACAGCCAATCATAGCAACGCATGGGTTGTGGACACCAGGTCGTCGCGCAAACAGTGTGCAGCACTAGTTTCTGTCTGACGTCCATATTCACGTGTTGTGTTCTCTTCTTCGCTGGGTATTGGCGCAATATTTTTTTATTTATTTATTGTGTTTTTTCGTGACAAAACGTGGTTTGTAGACAAGATAGAATCGTTGGGTCACAGAGTTGTTGTCAACTCGTTATTTATTTGATTATTTTCAGGATTTAGACCGTAACATAGTACTGAAACAGCTCTCATTGAGTCACAAATGATTTGCTCTTATCATCCGATCGTGGTTGTATCCAGGGCCGTGCACAGACATTTTGAGGGGCAGTGGCCTTAGCCAAAAAAAAGGGGCACTATGTGGGTGGTTGCTTGTTAACACAAATGATTCAGTTATTGTTGCAGTTTTACATTTTTTACATTATTGTTACAATATTTTCCTTTTACAGCAAAAAAAAAAAGGATGGGGGGGGGGTGTACTTAGGCTATTATTTGTATTAGATCGAGAGAGTACAATAATTTGATTAGACAAGCAGCTAATTCTAAGAACGTGGCTATGTTGTACAAGTTGCACTAGTAGAAGTCCAAGAGCAAAACATTACCGACATAAATGCACAAAAAAAAATAAAATAAAAAAATGAATAATTACGCAGATTCAACCACTTATGGAAGCTTGTTTCCGCCACTGAATAAAAATAAATAAATAAATAATTGCGACTTTTTATCTCAAAATTGTGAGCTATGAAGTCAGAATTGTGAGATATAAAGCCAGAATTGCGTGATATAAAGCCAGAATTGCGAGATATAAAGTCATTGTGTGATATAAAGCCAGAATTGCGTATAAAGTCAGAATTGCGTGTTATAAAGTCGCAATTCTAAGAGAAAAAAAACCAAAATTGCGACTTTTTTTCTCACAATTGCTAGTTTACATCTCCCAATTCTGACTTTATATAACATAATTGCGAGTTTATATGTCGAATTTCTTACATCTTTTTTCAGAATTGTAAGATATATACTCGCAATTGCGAGTCTCAAGCCAATTCTAAGGGGGAAAAAATACTAACTTTTTCCCCTCAGAATAGTTTATATCTCGCAATTCTGACTTTATATCACATAATTGCGGGTTTATATGTCGAATTTCTTAAATATTTTCTCAGAATTGTAAGATATAGGCTACTAGCAATTGCGAGTCTCAAGCCATTTCTAAGGGGAAAAAATACTAAGTTTTTCCCCTCAGAATAGTTTATATCTCGCAATTCTGACTTTATATCACGCAAATCTGACTTCATATCTCGCAATTCTGAGAAATAAAGTCAGAATTGTGAGATAAAAAGTTGCAATTGCCTTTTTTATTTTTTATTCTGTGGCGGAAACAAGCTTCCATAGTCTTGCATACCCTACCTGTTAATGCAACAGCTTTCGTGAACTGTCGTATTCACTCTTATCTCAGTTTCAAGAGAGGGCCGCAGACGTACGCTGCGGAGTGCAGACTGCGGAGCGAGCGGGAAAACCTCGAGCGGTTTAGTGGAATCAACTAAATGCTTTGAGCAAAGCGGAGCAGGTGGGCAGGAGGGGCACCTCAGTCGATGAGGGCAGAGGGGCAGTGGCTCTAGCCACCGGGCCACCCCCCTGTGCACGGCCCTGGTTGTATCTCTATGTAGTGCGTTGTCAACTCGTGTAGTGAGTTACCTCCTGTTGTGGATCAATCACGTTGTGTTGTATGGTGTGAACAGCTAAACAACTTGAACACTTCTGATTTCACTGATAGCAAGTCATGTAGTGTGAACCGCACAGTTCAGCCCGACGTTTTAAAATCATGTAGTGTGAACAAGGCTATATCTAGCATGCTAGATATTCTTCTGGGCTCGGAAAGCGTTTTTCGTCCGCTAATCCCCAGCGATTTGCACGCGATAACACCCTGACCTGTCGGCGAGCTCACCGATTTGCAAATCAGGCATAAATCGGGCTTAAAATCCTGTAGTGTGAAATTGGCTTTAGTCTACATGTGATACAAAATGATTAGCTTAATAATTTATGCATAAGCAGCACTGACGTTGGCCAATCATAACACTATAGGCTTGAACACTGAAGTCTTAAAGGGGAAACACCCCAAAACAGACTGTTTGAATCAGAGGTGAGAAACAGGGTGGGAAAATTTCATAAATCACTACATTTAAAAAAAATTGTACAAAAAATTATAGTAATACTACAATTGCACTTAAGGGAACAAAATAAAACAAAACTAAAAACCATGTCATGACCCCTTTAAGCTGCCATGACTTACTGATCATTTTATGCATAGTTATCGTTATCATGCAAATCATTTACAAACAAAAAAATGTGTTAAAGGGTTAGTTTACAGTTACATTTACAATTATTCATTTAGCTGAAGCTTTTATCCAAAGCGACTTACAATTTCTATATATGTCAGAGGTCGCACACCTCTGGAGCAACTTGGGGTTAAGTGTCTTGCTCGGGACACATTGGTGTCTCACAGTGGATTCGAACCCAAGTCTCTCACACCAATGGAATGCGTCTTATCCACTGTGCCACCACCACCCACCATTTTTTTTTGCGTGAACATTTTTTTTGCATGAACTAAGCCATTAACACACATTTTGGAACTAAATAATTAAACTTTAAAGTAATGGCATCAGGCAATTGACTCACCAATCACGTAAAACATGAGGTCCCTTATCAGAAAGCACAGGGCAATGGTACAGCCAAATATCAGAGCTCCTGCTGAGAAGTGAGACATAAATTTTTTTATATAAATCACATCCTCATGAAATAATTAACAACACCTTTTTATTTGCTCTCAGTTTTAACAAACAATACATTTATTTGAGAATAAATCACAGAAGCAAAACATGATAAAGGTTGAAGGGTATTGTCAGTCACCATAGACAAAGATGTGATCAACAGAAATTTCTTAAATAATATTAATAATAATAATAAATAAAAATAAAAATCAAGCTAAGCTAAGTTAAGCTAAGTTCTTGATTTGGAGGCTGACCATGGTTTTGTGGGGTATTAAGTTTATTAAAGGCGATTAAAACAGAAAGTGATAAGTTTCAGATAAGGGCTACTTCAACAGAAGTTGTGGTTGCGTCTTCACCTTTCACGTACAAGTAGGTGTGTTTTTATTTATTTATTTATTTTTTTTTTTGCGTTTGAGTAGTTGTGGTTTGACAGCGTTTTCACTTGCTGTCAGGGAAGTAAGGCAGACCGATTTTTATGACAACTGTACTACTTTTATGGTCTGCTGGCCGTGTTTGAGTGCTGAACAACCGGTACAATTTGTAACATACTTTGAGATTGTCTGGGTATCAGTTTTGAGTGATAGGTCAATTAAACACGCTTTACTGATGTTGTTAATCTTTCTGCTTTGTTTATAGTATTTACTTTTTCTTTAGTGTTGAGAGTTTTATTTATTTATTTTTTTATTTAACAATCAGACATACATACAAACAAACCAACATAGTGCATTAGTGAGCAATCTTGTAAATCCCTAATTCCAGCAGTAACAAGAGTGATTTAAGTGTTTGATCTAAGTGTGTATGTGAGCGGGTGTGAGTGTGGGTACGTGTATGTGTATGTATGTGTATGCGTAAACAAAGTAAATGATTTATTATTTATTACCATTGTCATTACCACCACCATCCCACTCCACACTACCACCATACTGCCCATATTGTGTTGGTAGATTTTTATTTCCATCCTTCCTCCTATGTAACAATTGCCATTTTTTTTTTTTTTTTTGTGTGTTATGTGCAATGTCTAAGGTGCATTAAAATAGGGAGTACAGTGCGAGAGTGTCTCAAATTGGGACAGAGATGCTGTCTTGTTGAAACCACTTCTCGCCTGTCTTGCCTGCCTTGGTGTTTGTGAGGTTTTTCCATATACAGTATACTTATTCCTTCCCTTTTTTTCCCCTATTCTATGTTGTGGTACATTAAAAACCCATGAAGAGATAAGGGGGAAGTTATTGCAATAGTGATGACAATGACACTTAATTCTAATACAGCATTGACAATGGCAATATTGATGATGATAATAATAATAATAATAATAATATTAATAATAAATGAAAATGATGATGGCAGTGGTGATCACAACGGTGGGAGCAAAAGACAGCAACAACAGCAATTACAACAATGAAACAACAAAAGAAATAAAAGTGAAAATAGTAATCATAACAGTAACAGTAGTAATAACAATGATGACAGAAACAAGTTCAAACAACTAAAATGAATATTCGTGGGTTGATTAAGAAGGTGGGAGAAGTCGGAGTTAAGAACAGAGAAAGGATTCATAGCTCTAAGAGGTCAGAAAGTATTGGGCGGCAGGGGTTAGTGTTGAGAGTTTGTTGGGGACTTGAGACTTGTTTGTTGGTTGTTTTATAATATTATATTTTGAGTTGTGTGGCTGGTAATGTGTATTTTACACAAACATATAATTCTAGCTTCATTTTTTTTAATTAACATTTGAATGTGGGTAAGTTTTATAAATAGAAAAACAACATTTTGAACAAAAAGCAGAGAAAATAGCATCTTTGTCAAAGACTATGTCCGGATCGGATTCATAATGATGATTCATAATTTATTTCTTCCATCAGCACCACCAAAGCTTGCACAGTTGTATACCTTGTGCTGAGACGACATTTCATTCGGTAGCATTAGGCAATTTCAATCTATATGTGGTTTAATGTTTGAAGATGTTTTTTTACATTACCATAAGAAATGATTTTATCACTTGTTTCTAATTCTTTTTCACACATGGTTTAATCCAGATATTCTGTCCTCTTTCAGAAGATGCATAATAGCACAAAAGTAACATAAATGTTTTCTTATTTTAAAGACGTATCCAGTGAACGAAAATCTGCACTCACATTTATGCTAATAACTTTTGAACCATAAGGGCTAGAAAGAAAATTGTAATTTTTGTCCTAGACAGTTGCTCCAATTTAAATGGAAGTTTAATCGGATCATCTTCAGATGATGCTGGCAAAATTTATGGAATTCAAGAGGATTAATCAAACCGTTTTTGAATAACACGTGTTCAGTAAAGAGCACGCAAAACACAAGGCTGCATGGTCAACGATCAAAACTGACAACTGTGGCCCAACGTTTCAGTGCAGTGCCACCTAGTGGTCAGGAGATATGAAAATTATTTTTGCAGATAACTTCTAAACATTTTTTTTTCTTGGACAGAGATCTGATTAGTGCTGTTTTTTAGATGGTAGTATGCTGATTTGGTTATAGCTTTGACATAGCTCTCAAAGCGAAGATTAGACTCCAGAATAACACCAAGATTCCGGACCTGCCTGGCAGTGTAATGTCCAAGTAAAAAAATTTAAGCGTTAAGACACTCTTTACAGATGTTGTAGTGGACTTTTAGCTTTGTTTTAAACCCCATGTGTTCAGATTTCCTGCATTTTCTTTTCATGTATTGCACTACGGATGTGTTTCTTAATGGTGCCTTGTGCTTGCCAGTGATTTTCTTAAAGGACAAGTTCGGTATTTTACACTTAAAGCCCTGTTTTAAAATGGTTTTTGATGAAATAGAATCGTTAAGATTAAGAATTCGGGCACATGCTGCTGTCCCAAGAATTTTCGGTTTGTGTGGTTGCACCCCACTGTAACAATCCTTCCTAAAAAGGCATTAAACTTTAGTTTACAAAGACCTTAAACTCACCAAGTGGTCTGATGCTCACACAAAAATCGCTACAAAAGATGTCGAGTTTGCCTGCGAGAAGGGTACACTTTTTGACCAATGGATAAAAGCGTGTAAAGTCACAGACTATCAATCTTTGTGTGAACTTTTGCTCATTGAGGAGTTCAAGAATTGTGTTCCTTAGCGTATTGCTTTGTCCTTAAATGAACAAAAGGTTAGAACAGTGCAACAAGCAGCTGCCTTGGCAGACGAGTACGCTTTAATTCATAAATCTGTGTTTGAAAAGCGTTCTAGTGATTTTGGATACACCTCACAAAGAGAAAATGAAGTTAATTCTTCTGACTTTAAAATCAGGGCTTATCCATCAAGCCCGAACACTCGTAAAGAGTGTGGCTACTGTCATAAGATGGGACATATTATTGCTGAGTGTCGAATTTTAAAATGAAAGCAAGAGCATCAGGATTTTTCAACTCAACCTCGCGGTTCAGTTTTAGTAAAAGTGTCTTAGCAGCAGTCTATGACTCCTGTAGTTCCTGACAAGTGTTTTAAACCTTTCGTGTTTGACAGTTATGTATCATTGACTGGTCGTGTTGAGGATCAGAGGGTTATGAATATCGTACATACTACGGTGGGATCACAATCCTTTATACTGCCGACACTTTGCCTTTTTGTGCAAAGTCTGCATGTGATACCAGCACTATCGTCATTTTTTTTTAACTGTACCTCTTCATCGCGCCTGGATGTCGTCTGATTTAGTCTCTAGATGTTTTAATGTAGCGGCCCATTCTTCCCTACCTGTAAAAGGTGTTGATTTCATCATGGGAAATGATCTAGCTGGAGGAAAAGTAATGCCAGTTGTGAATGTTACTAATACTCCGTTCATTGATCAACAACCCGATGCACTTGCACAACATTTCCCAAATGTTTTTGCTTCTAGTGCAGTTACGACACACACAATTTAGGCGAGTCTACTTTTGCAGAGATGTTTGAGAAAAATGCATTTTCTGAGAATGTTGATGTTAATCCGATCCAAATGTCTATTTGTCCAGATCCTGACATATTTTTGCCTATTTCATGCAATGTTCTTACTGAGGCTCAGAAAAGTGATCATACATCAGAGAAGTGTCATCAAAGTGTTGACAGAAAAATATCTGTCCATGAAAAATATATCCATATTCACCTTTCAGATTTTACTACCAAAATGTTCATTCTGTTTAAAAATACAACCTATAATATTCGACAGGCAATTTTCGGTCCATTTTATTTCGCTTTACAAATCCGCTTCCACAAATTCAGTGGTTCACAGTGATTCTGTATATCAATGTTGTATGTAACTTTAGAGATGTCTCTAAACTTGTTCAATGTCAAGCCAACTTTATGCCAGTATATCACTGGGAAACGCTTAGCATAAAACTTTGCAAGTTAAGTTCATATTTTGAGTTCATCTGTTTCCCTGTTCCTATAAGTACTATAAAGCTCCGGCAGTTGACGTCACGCAATCTAAACTCTGCCATTTTGGCAGGCAAATCAGGAGAGCGCCAGAGCGGCTGTAGCAGTGATATCTATACGTAGCCTATAGCGGTTGAATGATTTAAAGTCTATTTAAAATTTAAAACCATAAAATTTAAAAATGACTTCGGGGAATGTTTAAAATGTTGATTAACCTATTTAATCCCACCATAAAGATATAAAAGAATAATTGTACAATAGTGTCAGTAAAGATACAGTATTAGGCTATCATTATCCCATAAAACACAATGTTTCACAAACTTTCCATAAAAGTCCACTTTCCATTTTTAATTTTTTTTTTTAATTTATTGATTATTTCAATGGACAACTAATGACACATTATTAGGATATTTTCATGTCTGGGAAAAATGTGTCAAATTTTTGAGACTCCCTTCACCAGTAATTAATTTTTCTATGACCCTCCAAAACGAATGTGAAAAAAGCATGACCCTCCCCGATAATTTATTGATTACTTCTGTACTGGTTTGCGCTATGCAAAGATGTTCAGATAGCCTTTTTTTTTTTTTTTTTTTTACAACTAACAAACGACTAAACTCCTGCTTTCTCATCCTACTAAGGCTGTAACAATATACCAAAATTCGGTTCGTATCATGATTTTTTTTTATTTTAGATTTTAAAAAAAACAATAATAAAAAAAATCACATTTTTGGAGCTAATGGAGGGGGTGGGGCTCAAGGGTGGCGCTCCAAAGTATCTAAAAGTGGCCACAAAGAACCGGCAAAGGTAATGATTATGAATATGTCAAATATAGCAAGGAGACATTTGAATTGTTTATTAATAAACAAGGTTTTTCTGTGTCAGTGTGTCATCTTCAAGATATGAAGTTGATGATGCTGACTCGCGATCTTCAGTAACGCACCAGAGAGAAATGCACATTTCATATGGATTATTACATAAGCATGCAGAGATCATATTTTTCGTTTTTAAATGTTCTGTTTAAAAGTAGACATCACGCTTTCTATACATTTATAAGGTTTGTGAGGCAAGTAGCCTACATATACGGTGAGTTTTGGCTTATTCATTATTCAAAAAACCTGGCTTAGATCCAACTAACTAATCTTCGTCCCATCTCAAATCTTCCCTTTATTTCTAAAATTCTTGAAAAAATAGTGTCTGCTCAACTCCACGCCTATCTTACCCTCAACAGTCTTTATGAACCTTTCCAGTCTGTTTTTCGCCCCTCCCATAGTACCGAAACTGCCTTAATAAAAATCACCAATGATCGACTCATAGCTGCCGACTCTGGACTCATCTCCATCCTCATCCTTCTTGATCTTAGTGCGGCCTTTGATACCATTTCTCACACCATTCTCCTCAATAGACTCTCTTCTCTTGGCATCTCCCATACCCCTCTTGATTGGTTCCGCTCATATCTCTCTGACCGCACTCAGTTTATTAAACTCAAATCTTTCACATCCCACCCCTGCCCTGTCACTACTGGCGTCCCTCAAGGTTCAGTTCTTGGCCCCCTCCTTTTCATCACCTACCTACTTCCCCTTGGCAATATTTTCCGCAAATTCAACATTCATTTTCATTGTTACGCAGATGACACCCAGCTCTATTTATCCAGCAAACCCACCTCCTCGCTCCCCCCCTTGTCCCCTACTAACTGCTTACTTGAAATTAAAGACTGTTTCACCTCAAACTTCCTAAAACTTAGGGCCAATCCCAATTCAACCCCTATACCCCTTCACTTTCCCCTAGCCCTACCCCTTCGCCTTCCCCTTGACCCTTGAAACAGAGTGGCAATGCGTAGGGGTGAAAATATTCCCCTAAGAAATGGGACACCACTACGCCTCCGTTAAACGTCATTATAAGTCATCGCTAGCGCCTACGTCACAGGAGATGCGCTGATGTTTATCACAACTTCCAAGATGCCGTCGACAGCTGCAGTTATCTCAGTCGCGTGGATTACAGCTATTTTCTTGCATCTTGTGAAGTTCGCAGGAAACAACGGAGACGACGAAAATATGTTGCGGGACTATCGTTAGCAAACTACAGTAATTTTAGCGATTTTTTTTTACAAACGTTTCTGTGAAGAAACTGACCATAAATATGAACACAATATTGAATGTAACATTAAGCTAATCATTATTTGTCGTTACAATACTTATTAAAGCCACAAATACTTACATTTATGGGTTTCCTTTTTCGCTTGGGCAGCCATTTTGCGTCTGTAGCCTGGGTAAGCAGTGACACTTCTCATACCCCTTCGTTTGAAGTGTGCTCCCGAAAAATCTTCGTTTGAAGGGCTATCTGGCCCTTTCCCCTAGCCCTCCCCCTCCAACCAAAAGAGAATTGGGACAGCCCTACCCCTTCACGTGGACGCGCAAAATGGAGGGGAAGGGGAAAGTGAAGGGGTAAGGGGTAGAATTGGGATTGGCCCTTAACAGTGATAAAACTGAACTCCTCCTTGTAGCCACCAAATCCACACTTTCCAAAATTAATAGTTTCACACTACCCATTGACAATTCCTTGGTCCCCCCCCTCCCCTCAGGTCAAGAGTCTGGGCGTAATCCTGGACTCCTCCCTATCCTTTCAGTCACACATTAATAACATCTGCCGGTCTGCATACTTCCACCTTCGCAACATTAACCGCCTCAGTCCCTCCCTTACCTCTCACACTGCCTCCATCCTTATCCACAGCCTCATAACCTCCCATCTTGATTACTGCAACTCCCTTCTTTTTGGCCTCCCTCAAAAATCTTGCCATAAACTCCAACTTCTTCAGAATTCAGCTGCTCGTGTCATCACCAGAACCCCCTCGTTTCATCATATAACTCCTGTCCTTCAGCAGCTCCATTGGCTCCCGGTTCAATTCAGAATACAATTTAAAATCCTCCTGCATACTTTCAAAGCTATCAATAACCTTGCTCCTCCATATCTATCTGACCTCCTTCACATCACCACCTCCTCCTGCTCCCTCAGATCTTCCTCTTCCATCCACCTCACTGTACCCCCTGCTCGACTTGTCACCATGGGGAGCAGAGCCTTTTGCCGCTCTGCTCCCCAGCTCTGGAACTCACTCCCGCCTGACCTCCGCAGTATTGACTCTCTCCCCCTGTTTAAAACCAGACTCAAAACCCACCTGTTCCAGCTTGCTTATTTGTAAATACACTGTTCTTGTCCTTCTCCAACTGTTTTATACTCTTGTGGTCCCTGTTTTTATTCTGTAAAACAACCTTGAGTGCTTAGAAGGGCGCTGTTAAATAAAATGTATTATTATTATTATTCATGACAGTTCACGTGCCGGCATCCCTGTTTCTTTTCTATCGTCTTCTATATTTACGTCTTATTTATTAAATCAAGGGCAAGGCAATTGGTTGATGAAACATTAATTAAAATAAGATACAATTGTACAATTACTTTAAAGAAAGGCTGTGCTTTCTGAAGTCTGTGAAACTTTTAAAGTCACTTTCACAGCGGTCTATAACGGAGAACTGTCATGTCCGTAACAATGTTTTTTTTCCCCTCATAAATGCGAGCACGAAAAATAAAATAAATAAAAATATTGTATGTTCTGTGGAGGCTGACTCTTCTTCCTCCTATTAACCTACTTTCAGGAAAGCTATCAGATCCTTTATCAATACACATGAAAAGCACCCCGGGGGCATTATAGATCTGTTATGTTTAATCTATTAAATTTTGTTATATAGAAGTCTATGTATTTTTGAATTAAAGTGTGCTGTGAACTTTGTTGCCTTGAAACTCAAGCTGCCGTCATTCATTCACGTCCCGGTCCCTGACCGCCTTGCCTGCCAATATGGTGGTTTAAACAGACTAGGTCACGTGACGTCCGGAGCTCTATAGCCTACATTCCCAATAAGGAATGTAGGCTATGAATTGGGAATTGCGAATTTGTGGAAGCAAATATGTAAAGCGAAATAAAATACAACAGAATGAAGTGAACTCTGAAAGGTGAATGTGGAATTTTTATAGGAACTATTATAGAATTTTTAATAATGAAAATGTGTGTGAAATATTTTGAGTTGAAATATTCAGAGCTTAAATTCAACTTTGTTGAATTTAAGCTAAAAAAAAATGTAAGCACTAAAAAAAGCATTAAAATGCAAGCACGGTTAATGCACTACATATTTTTTTTCAATTGTTATTCAACAAGGTTTTTAGTTTCAAAAATATAATTTGGCATTATTTTACTTCCATACCGCTCCCTCTTTTCGTAGCTTGATGTAAATGTGAATAAATTCCAACAGTACGTCACATACCAAAAGACCACTTCTCATTCAGTCGCCTCTCAGCAAGGCTGTGCACCAGCTGAATCTCGTAGTCTTGATCTCTGCTTCCCTTAGATGCCTGGAGGACCCTCACGCCTGTGGACAGTTTAATGTAATCCTCGTAGTAATATCCCCACGCTGCCAGAGAGAGCTGAAGCTGGCTGTCAAACTGGGCTAGATCATCCAGGGTAGTGCAGCCCAGGGTCTTTAAACTGCCAAAATATAAAGAAGGGGTGCCATTATATATTAGATAGGAAAGACAGGTGAATGGATGTTTGCAGAAGTTCCTGAAATTTATCAAACATGTCAGAGATGGCTTTAGGAAGGCTTGATGGTTGTTAATTTTTTTCCAACTTGGAGGAAATTTGATCCTAAAAAGCCTGGTTTATGCTTTCTGTGTCCGCAAGAGTGTGAAAGTGTGTGCGGCAAAAATTACGTAATCGCAGTGTGGGCGGTTGTGTATGACTTGTATGAGAGTAGTAATTCAGCACTTACAAACTTTACATAAAGAAAGACCATAAGGAATCATACCAACTTGTGGACAAATGTTGTTGAAAATAGTCTCTTAATCTCACCAAGGTTGCATTTATCCGATCAAAAATACAGTAAAAAAAGTAATACTGTGAAATATATTTACGATTTAAATTAACTGGTATCTGTTGTAATATATTTTTTATGTAATTTATTCCTGTGATGACAAAGCTGAATTTTCAGCAGCCATTACTTCAGTCTTCAGTGTCACATGATCTTTCAGCATATGTTTTAGTTGCTTAAATTTTTATTATTATTATTTTTGAAATCATGATACACTGCCATTCAAGTTTGGGGTAAGTATGATTAAAAAAAGAGAGAGAAAAAAAAAGAACATTTATTTAGTAAAAGCAAATTAAATTGCCAAAAAAAGACAATAAAGACATTTGTGTAATTAATAAATATTACAAAAATTATATATAATAAATGCTGTTCTTTCGAACTTTCTATTTAACAAAGAAAGTCAGTTTCCACAAAAATAAGCAGCATAACTTTGTTTAACATTAATAATAAAAAGAAATGTTTCTTTAGCACCAAATCAGTATATTAGAATGATTACTAAAAAAGATCATGTGACAATGAAGACTGGAGTAATGATACTAAAAATTCAGCTTTACCATCACAGGAATAAAATACATTTTAAAATATAATACAACAGAAAAAAAGGAAAATGGAAAAAAATGGAGCCTTGGTGAAATTAAGAGACTACTTTCAAACACATTAAAAAACCTGATTAGCAATAGGAGGCTTGGTGAAATTAAGAGCCTACTTTCAAACACATTAAAAAAAACCTGATTAGCAATAATGTGTATGTGAACTCACGTGTGATAGTAGTGCTCCAGGCTCTGGGAACAAAGCCACTCCTGGAAGGCAAAGTCTCTGAGCAGCTGAACGTGGGCCTCAGTGATCTCCCTCCAGTGATGCTTTTCCTTTACTACTTCCTCCAGTCGAGACAGCACACATAAACTCAGCTCCTCCAGAGTCTGAACATCTATAACAAACATTCATAACGAACAGACACAAATAGAAGCAAGATGTGACCAGGCAGACAGTTAAACTGCTCTAACACTTTGCTCGGTGGCACATAGGTGCGGGCTGAGCGATAAAGTCAGCACAAAGTCCAATTCAGTGCCCTCCACTAATATTGCTATCATTGGTAAATATGTGCAAACAGCTGTGAAAAAAATTATTTGCTGTCTATCCTGTTGGTCTTTCATTCAAAATATTTTTTTTACTTATTTTTTTCTGATCATGTTCTTGCTCTTTCCATGTAATAAATCCAAGTCCTTTAATTAGCTTTTTTAGCGCATTTACTTAAGGTTATGTCATTCCTATTACTCAGGTCAGGGGTGGCCAAAAATACTATCTAAAATTAATCAGAGATACAGAAATCTTCCTATTTACAAGTAAAGCTATTGTGAGCCTATTTTCATCCTCAGTTACCTATATAGTACTCAAAAAAAGTAAGTGGAAAATCAAACTAACATTCTGCCAAAAATCTCTATTTTTATTCCATGAGATAATTTATTTCAGGATGTATGAAATATTTTTAAATTAATTATACATTATGTATTTAATTTGACTTGACAACTAGAATTGAAATAACTAGAATTGAAATTTCAAATAACTAGAATTGAAAACTGGCCGATCTCTTACACACAATTACAGGCCGATCTCAAATCTACCTTTTCTGTAAAAAATACTACAAAAAGCAGTATCTTCACAACTCCACATGTTCCTTTTTAGAAAGAAATGGTATCTGCGAGGATTTTTAGTCAGGATTTAGACCATACCACAGTACTGAGACAGCTCTCCTTAGAGTTACAATTGATTTGGAATTATTATCCGATCGTGGTTGTATCTCTCAATAAGTGTTACTCGATCTTAGTGCTGTTTTTGATGCTATTGACCACAACATTCTTTTAAATAGACTCGAAAATGATGTTGGCATAGGTGGAATTGCATTAGCAAGGTTTAAATCATACTTATCTGACCATTATCAGTTTGTAGCAGTAAATGAGTCTTATTGATCACAAGTTCAGTATGGTGTACTACAAGGCTCAGTACTAGGAGCTAGGACGATTGCTGTTCACTACATTCTTGAGACCATTTTGCGAGATGTAAACAACACTGGTCCAGAAGCATTTCCTGTTTTCCTCTGAGTTAAGCGCGTGCACCACAACTATAAAAAGCCATTATCAATGGAGCGCAGACATTATGAGTCACCATGGCAACAGCGCCAGACAAAAAGAGGTGTTGGGTGTGATTAATTACCAAGTAATCTAAATACTGTAATTTAATTAAAGGGATTACTCTTAATTCTTCTGTAATTTAAAATAAAATATGATGCAATTACATTAAATAGGCTACTGCATAAACTATAGACCAATTCAGAATAAAACAATAGTGGATTTAACATACATTTTTAAAAGGTATATTTTTTATGTAACCTTCTCCCTCTACAGACTTTGATCAATTCAAGAATAATTCATGCAATTGTATATTGTTAATTTGAAAGAATTAAAAGTGCAGTTTCTTGTTTCTCCTCCTTGTATTGTTCAAGTGGTTGAGGTTGATATAGGATTTAGCAATTAGTAATATATAAACCAATACTTTCTAGAGAAAAGGAGGGGTAGCCTAATTATTACATTAATCTAACTACACTGTTGAAGATGCCATTTGTAGTTAATAATTCAGAACTATTTTAGAGTAACTTACTGTTGTAATATAGAGGGGAAACTGGAAGAATGTTATTCAACCTAAAGTAGGCTACTATTACTTTGATAATTTTTTACTTAAGTAAAAGTAAAAATACCAGTCTAAAAATCTACTCAAGTAAAAAGTAGTTAATTTAAAACATGAGTAAAAGTTGCTGAGTAACTTGTTTAACAGCGGGGGTGGGGTGGGGGACTCCCCCATGTAGGGTTGTAACGATACTCTGTCCAACCAATCACCGTTCTGCAGTGAGTGTAGCTCCACCTTTTAGTACCCTTTCACTGTGCTAGGTATCCCAACGGAAGGGTACCCAAAAAGTGGTACGGTACGGTTCAGCTTTTTGGTACCATTCACAACTTTTGACAGTGGAAACGCTAATAATTGCGCACCGAACCGAACTGTACCGTACCGTACCACTCAGTGGAAACAAGCCATTATAAACAAACACAATCTAATCCTTCTAAACTAGTAACACAAAATGGAGTGGGAGACATTATTGTTGGTTGCACTAAAATGACCCAAACAGCCATCGTTCCCGGAGCTGATTCAGCTCCTAATGCCACCCCCGTGGCCAGTTCTGTGAAGGGTATCAATTGGCACCCCAGGACGAATCTATGGGATCTTCAATTCTAGCAGATCAGCAGGGCCCGAGGATGACAGTGTGTCACAAAGGGTGATGAATACTACAGCAGAGGCTAGGACTCCCTTTTAATAGGAACCAGCATGCTCATAAATGGAAGGTGTTTGTGGATTGGTGCGAGACGCATAATGAGGACGCAGGGACATGCCCTGTGTCAGTTATTTTATCATTTCTGCTGGGCCACTTGGACAGCAGGCGCTCGCCTTCTACACTTAAGTAGAATGTGGCCATTAGTGGAATGCTGTCCTTGTGGGCTTGAGGTGCATTGTTCTACGCAGTGTTCACTGCTCCCTACTCCCTGAACACGGTACATCAGTTGAAGTGGACTTTGCTGACAATAATCACTCATTTGGAATGCCCTGCAACATCAAAGAAAGGCAACAACAGGGTCACGCAGATTATGATATAACTTTTTATTTACTTTTCCTTCTAATTTAAAATCATATAATAGGCCTATAGATACATTCATCACCCCAACCGGTCATAAATACTCTAGTTTGTATAATTATAACAATATTTATGAATACTCAATGCATACTTAAACTCAGAGCCGTTAGAATTTTAAATTTAAAATCTCTTCCAACGGCTCTGCTCTATGGTTAGTTCTGACCGGTGACGCGCGGTGCACAATGACAGCTGGTTGATTTTCACTCTCCACTTCCTGTAAAGTGATGCATCAATGTTCCCTTATTCCCTACGCCGTTTGCAGTGCCCTTCGAACTGAAAATGTTCGTTCCCTTCGGATTGGAATCTCACTTAACATGGCGAAACACCCTGTGAAGTCCACTTCGCAGTCCACTTACGGTCGAATGGAATGCACCTTTGGACAAGAGGTATGTCTATTCAGGATATTTGATTTGCCACAGGTTTGTCTTTTCAGCATACCTTTGCTAGGTTATACGATCAGGAAATTTTTTTTGCACTGCATGTTCTGTCTGTGCTAGGGCATTCGTGCCAAGCGGCCATTAGCTCACCACGGATGCCAAGGGGCTTTCGCACTGGAGGAACCTTTTCATAGTTCCTTTAAAGTCCCTGTAAAGTCAAAATTAAGTATGTGTTCTGAGTTTGTCACACCACAGAAAAATGCTAGCAAACTGTAAGCTGTAGTAACTAATAGTACTGACAGTAACTTGTGATTGAGCGGCGAATGCGAATAGTAGGGGTGTGTCCACGAGCTCAGGGGCTCCAGAGCGTCATCGAGCCCTGTTTTAGGGCTGCGTCATCGAGCCCGAGAAATAGAGCATTGCAGTAGTCAAGCCTTGATGTGATGCATCTTGGCTTGACTACTGCAATGGTCTATTTTTCGGCATTCTGGAAAAAATCCTAAATAGGCTGCAGTATGTCCAAAATTCTGCTACAAGGCTGCTTACCTTAAATTTTATAAATGTTATAAATGTTATAAATATAAAATAAATAATATTTAATTAATATTAATAATTATTTATAAAATTTATAAAATATATGTTTTATAAATCAGGTTGAACTCTAAAACAACAAGAAAATCAAAGCCATACATCTAAATTGGTTGTGTTCCAAATTTGAGGATGATATCTAAAACAATTAGCTTTCGGTAAGAGTTTGTTTGGGTGCAATAAAAGATTTTCCCCATTGGGTGCCAGCAAAACTCCACTTATAGGCCAAACCTAAAAAAAAAATGGCACCATCTGATAAAAAAATAGTAAAAATTGAATGCCAACAGAATGAAAGCCTCTTAACAAAGTTTGCATAATTTTATAGTTAAATGAACCTGGGATTAAAAAATGCAGTTTTAAAGGGTTTCAATGGGGACATTTTTGTCCAAAAGGCGCTGAGAGGGAGTATTTTGTGTATCTAGAGCAAAAAAGATTTTTTCAAAGGAAATGGGGTTGAAATAGTAAAATTCCAATAAAAATACACAGCTGTGCCAAAATTCATGCAGTTAGCATTAACAAAACAAAACAAGTTACACATAGCTACAAAGTGGACAAAAAGGTCCACTAGGTTTACTGGCAAGCATATGACATATTGCTCTTGCACTTAATTGTATTGGGATAATAACCTTTTTTTGACATGTGGCTGTTCAGGCTTTAATTGCAACTCATTCCCTGCTTTGTCGCCAGGTATAGCGATGAGTCACGATTTTCAAATATTCGATTAGTTAATTTTACTATCGACAATAATTTTACTATCGACTGACTATCGAATAGGTTGTGTTGTCATAAACATGCATAAACCCTATATGTCATGTCATGGTTATGAAGGTGTCATGTCTTATGCACACCCCTTCAAGTAAAGTGTTACCTGAAAATTTTTAAATCATCCACCAAATCATCATCTCTTCCTGACAGTTTAACGAATTAACAATATTGCTACAAATTATTAAAACACCTGGCTGTTAGTAAAACACATTACATTTAGTTAATGCCTAAATAATTTATTTTAATTAAAAAAAAAACTATAACTATAATTTACCTTATTAATATCAGTTCATTTAATTTTAACATTCATCTATATAAATATAATATTGTCTCAATATTTTAATATGTTTTATTCAAGGAATGATTAATAAAAAAAAGGTAGAAAAACTAAAACAAGCATGAAATAAATTTTAAAAGTAGAAATAAGAAAGCTGTAAAGTGATTTCTGGTTAAAACCAT